TTTTTTTTTTTTTTTTTTTTTTTGAAGTGGCCATTTTTGCTGGCTTAAAGGACTATATAAATAACCTGATTCCACTGAAGCACCGGTTGTCGGTCAAGCCTTCGAGTGTCAATTAGTCAACATGGGGCTGCGGAAAGGCTTGGAGTGTCCGTCGCAACAGAAAGCAGGCAAATCACGCACCATAAAGGTTTGGATTTCTTTAGTGCTGGGCAAGAAAACGCATTGGAAAAATGAGGCCCGGAATCTCTGGTGGCTTAAAGCACCAGGACACCACACATCGGCCCGCGGGTGTCAGCACGGAAGCCGCACCACTTCGGAGGCCACGTTTTTTTTTTTTTCAACGACGGCCCACGCCGCACGGCCCCTCCGAGTTTTGCTTGTGGCGACAAAAACTTTCTGCAAGGCTGGGGCCGTGTACTTGTGGTTTAAGGGCGCTGTTGCCTTCTCCCACGCTCGCCAACCCCATAACACTGTTGCGCAGCGCATTGTTGGCTTAAACCACCAGTACGTTGCCCAGGCATCTTCTCAGAGAGGCGGTGTGCATGCAGCCGCAACTCTCGGGACGTACCGGGGTGCTGTTTTGCTGGATATCCATCTGGGCAAAGCGGGTCGAATGCCCGGCATATCCAGCGAAACAGCGCCCGGATACTTCCCAAGAGTCATGGCCGCATGCACACGGCGACTCTGAAAAGAGGGCTGGGAAACCTACTGGGGGTTTACACTACCAGATCAGACGAGCCTGAACGTACAATCAGACCCCTGCGGCCTGCCCAGCCTGAAACGTCGCTCATGCGGGGTCACACCATATGCATTCGGTTTGGCGCGAATGTTTTTTAATGGGCCAAACCGTCCTTGATTTTTACAAAAATTACAATTCACTTGTGCGGAGCATAACAAAGCAACATCACTGATTGCTTTTGGAATTTGTCATCTCTGGAAATTGGAATTAAAAAAATGGCCAAGTCAGGGTACTCAGAATTCCTCCCCCCCCACCCCCCAATACCCCCTTGGGTCTGGCAGGCCCAGGCCAAAACGACTTGCCATGTCCTCCGGCAAGACAAGACATGACTTCTGCCTCGGCCAAACTGGCGGCTGAACGATATGAATCATACGATTCCAAAAATAGCAGCAGCAGAATCAGGAGAAGAGAGAGGCAGAGTAGGAGATGGTGAGGAGGATGATAAGAGGAAGAGGACAGGAGCTTAGCAAGGAGAGGAAGGGGGAGGGAGGGAGGAAGGAGATGGAGAATGTGACAGATCAAGTCCTTGTTCAGACAACAATCGCAAAGGCAACGGCGATGAACCACAAACGGAATGAATGGAATCCGTTAAAATTGGAACGACACAGAGAAGATTAGCATGCCCCCACCCCCCCCGAAAGGGTGACACACATAAATTGAAAAATGGTCCAAATTAATTTAAGAAAAGAGAAAAAAAAGAAATCAAACATTATTTTCCTTCTCTTTGAAATGGGGAAAAGACTAAGGAAGCCTGATGTCACTTGCATTTTCTTCTCAAAAAGCAGCTCCGGACGCTTGATAGGGTCTTCAGCTGCAACGCCCGCGCCAGATCTTGCACTTGAACGGGGAACGAAACTGCCTCTGCAGGAGTAAAACAGCCCACAACCACAAGTAAGAAAAAAACTGGGAATCATTTTCCTTTTCCCTTCGATTTAAAACTTGAATTGATCATTGTTGCGGTTTTTAAATCCCACCAGTACGTCTCCTAGCCATTGTCTTCCGACTAGGGGTGTTGCCGCACGGCACACGAAACGAAAAACGAAACGAATGCATCTTCCCACAGAAAATGGCCAGGTTCATCGGTTTGCTATAAATAGTAACGAGTGTATTTTGCCACCTTTGGTGGGCCGATGGACTCGTTTCGTTTTCATTTCGGCGAGACCCTAGGTCGTACACAATAGCAAGTTTTGGAGGCTCGACCTGCTGCCGTGACGAAAACCTCGCCGCCAGGCGGGGCCATCCCAAAGCATAAAGATGTACCACATGCCCGTGCGTTTCTGATTTGGCCTGCGCCACATTTACGGGCCGGATAACCCCAAAACGGATGCAGCAACCCCTCTTCCAAAAAGGGGATGATGTTATATGGTAAGGATGGGCCAACCAATCGAACAAGCACTGACACTACCGTCTTCACCCGAATAGAACGCCCGGTCATTATAGCTGTCTTGGGGGCAACTTTCAGACCAGATGCATCGATAACGACCGGGTGTTTTATTCGGGTGAAGACAGTAGCAACCGCCTTCGGGCCTTGATGGGGGAGGAGGAAAACTTTTGCAAACCAGCAGCGGCGTTTTGACTATGGATCTAACAAGTGGAAGCCAGAGAAACCATGGGAAACGGTCCGGGACCAGTATACAACCATTGGGCCATTGGCTAGTGAGAAAAGGGGACTGAAGGGGTACCCAATTGGCAAACTCGGGCCCAAATCGAGAACAACGGCAACTGGCGGGGAAGGGGGGCTGGAGGGTCGAAAGGGAGACATTTGGAAACCCCTTCTCACACTTATATCCAGCAAACACTCCCGGATTTGCAACATCAACAATAATTGGAGATGAGGAGAGGGGAGGGATGCATACAGATCAATCCACTGAACAGTGATCAGGGATTTTTTTTTTTTTTTTTTTTTTCCGCCAAGGCCCCATGTGCAAAACCTCCATCCTGGTGGTGGTAGGAGTGATCAGGGATTTTTGGCACAGATCCAATAGAAATTGATATTGTTGTCCAGGTGGCCTACCTCAGGTGTTTAAGCATGCAAGTGACATCCAGGAGGAGGTTGTGGGTGCAATACCGACTGACCACCTAGGCACGCTTGGTACCAACCAAGTGAGGTCGTTGGCTTGCTCAGCACCCCCCTGATTACCACCGATTAGGGTTTAGGGTTCAACATGCATCCCCATCCCCTTGATTGTGAGAGGTAGCTTTGCTTGCTGGGTCTCCTGTGGAGGCTTAGGAGTAGTGGAAGGTACATAGTGAAGGGTGAAACTGAGAGAAGAATATAGCTTAACTAAACAAAGAAAGAAATAACTACGTCCACCCGGGGGGCGGGGGAAGGTGTGGGCGGGGTATGGGCGGGGTAGTTTCGTTTTGCAATAGAATCAGGTCGTTGCAGTTGAGTCGTGGGTTTTGCAATCGAAATCCCCCTAAAATAAGTGGGTAGAGCAGAATGCCCCTCTGACAAAAAAATCATTCGCGAAATACCCCAGGTGTTGATTGGACCCATCAACTTTGAAATATACCCCTCCCGGAGAGCCATCTAACGTTGCAAGACAACCTGGTACTTGCCAACTTTCCCAAAGGCCCAATTGATTGTCATTTTATCCCTAACGGTCCATGTCAACTTTTGAACCCCGGAGACCACCAACTCTCTCTCTCTCTCTCTCTCTCTCTCTCTCTCTCTCTCTCTCTCTCTCTCTCTCTCTCTCTCTCTCTCTCCAAGCACAATTTGGGGATAAGTGGGAGCTTGTGACTGCCGTATCTCTTGCAGCGTATCCATAGATTTTTTAAATTTGGGACGGCCAGAAAGATGGTAGAAGGGAGACCTTGCCCGCCAGTAGGCAAGGCAGTCCCTTATACCCATTGAGGTGTGGGACCCACCTCTTCTCGCAAGTTCGGGTTATACGGGAGTCTGGAGGATGTCAGGCTGCAGGAGGGACCCACTTGAGCCTTTTCCTTGCCTTTCCTTTTCCCCTTTTTCTAGCCTTCCTTTCTTCTCTCTTGTCGTTCGGGACATGTGTTAAAATTGGAACGATGCAGAGGAAGTCAGCGTGGCCCGTGTGCAAGAATGACATCATGACTCACATAAATGGAGAAACCGTCCAAAGACTCCAATAATCTCAAATTGTTTTCTTTAGCTTTCTTTTTATATTTTTTTCTTGTTGTTGTCTCCCCCCACCAAAAGAACCTCATTCTGCAACCCCCTTCAGTCCAAGGAACCATTAAGCGGTCCACCATCCGCATGTCAGACTGACAGACTGACAGACTGTCAGGCTGTCAGGCTGTCAGGCTGTCCAGTTCATGGAGCAGAGGATTTTTGTTAGGCACAGTTGTCCACTTCTCATTCAAATTCTGAAGATGACGTTAGGGAAGCGCAAAAGGTCGGTCCTTTGGGACATCCATAAGAATCGGAACGAAAGAGAGAAAGAAGATTACCATGGCCCTTGCACAAGGATGACACGTTTTTTTTTTGTTTTTTTTTTTTTCACAAGGATGACACATGAACTCTAGAAATGGTCCATTTTTTAGTTGGGGGGGAAACGAAAGTTGCAAAAAAAAATGGAAAACTTTGCAACTTTCGTTTCCCCTCCCATATCCGCAGTTTGATCTAGTCCACGTCAGCATTCCCACTGCAGACCATCATGCATATTGCAGCACGGTGGAAATGAAAAATGAAAACTGAAAAATGAAATTACAAGGGCGTGCCACTGCAACGACCTATCGTCTAACAACACTTGGCCATTCCTCACACTGCCACATACCAAGACCAATCGTTTTGTCATCCAGGGAGAGAGAGAGAGAGAGAGAGAGAGAGAGAGAGAGAGA